TATATACTTTATTATTTTTTTATTTTTACAGTGTGGCTATATAAGTTCTCAAATTGACCCGAAGGAGAGGATTAGGGACACTTTACAGTTTTTTTTTGTTTTTTTTTACACCCTCAAAAACTCATAATCTAGTCATTCATTCTTTTATTTATTCAATTATTTACTTATTACTTTATAAATTGCCATTTATTAAATTGGTCTGATTCTGTAAATCACATTGTTTTCACAGAATATACAGTCAATTAACATGTTTCTAAATTCTTCAATTTTCAATGCCGGCTTTCCCAATAAAATCATTGATGATGGGGGCACTATCAACACCTAAGAGCACCCATTTTTAAATTCTGTCACTTACTTTCTTTCTTACTGTACATTTTATAAAGTAGGCTAATGTTGACCTATTTACTTTAAGATACGATGTTGCCATGAATGTACATTGAACCAGAAATGTAGAATGGTTTACAGTAAAAGGAATCTGAATCATAAAAAACAATGGATTTCATATTGTCTATTCTTTTGTATGCAGGTAGAACTGAAACATAAATTAGTGCAGTTTTTCTAATTCCTTCAATTGTTAGCTCAAGCATTAGAGATTGGTGTTTTTATGTTTGTTTGTTTTCATTGTTTTTGCGAGGAGAAAAAAAAAATCATTTTTCCATGAATATGAAACTAAACCCAACCTGCATTCTTGAATAAAACACTATGAATAAAAGTTATTACTGTGTGCCATATCATATAAGATATCACTATGGAAACCAATCCTTCCCAAGCACAGACAGAAAAACAATAATGGTTATTATGTAAAGAACCAAGAAGGTCACATCTGTCATTCTTGAAACGCTGGTCCAGCACAGAGATGCCTTTTCTTGTTGGTTTTGTTGAGTTCCAGCCAGATACTCAGTTAAAATCTGCTTCAGAAGGTCCAGAGTACAAGATTGTTGTTCATTCTGATCTCTGACTGAGCCTTGAGGGCGCTGCAGGGATCTTATAGCATCTGTGAGACAAAACATGGCTCTGGATTAACACTATATTTCTTCACTATATTTCTTTCTACTATATTTCTTCTGTGTAAACCTACCAGCAGTTGTGGTTTCTATTGATGCTGCTGGTCTATTCTCTGCTCCTCTGGCCATCAGAAAATTCACAAGGATGGTCTCCAGAATGCTGAAGCCAATTAGACTGAAAATCACACTGCAGTAAATCCCTGTGAAGACAGCAGTATGACTGCAACAGGTAAATGCCTCTGAAATAACACCTTGATGGATTATATCAGTGGTTTTCAATCCTGGTCCCACCCACCGCTTTACACATTTTGTATGTCTCTCTTATCTGACACACTCAGTTCAGTGCATGGAGCAGAGATTGTCTTACTATTGGGAGATGAGAGGCTCTGTATTACTTACTATTGGAGAAAGTATAATGGTCAACTTGGATCACATGTGCCTTAAAGGGGACCTATTATGCCCCTTTTTACAAGATGCAAAATAAGTCTCTGATGTCCCCAGAGTGTGTATGTTAAGTTTTAGCTCAAAATACCCCACAGATCATTTTTTTATAGCTTGTTAAATTTGCCACTTTTAGGGTATGAGCCAAAACGTGCCGTTTTTGTGTTTGTCCCTTTAAATGCAAATGAGCTGGTGCTCCCGCCTCCCTTTTCAGAAGAGGGCTGAGCTTCAAGAGCACATGCTCCGGCAATACCGGCAACAACAAATAATCTCATGCACTGAAACTGTTAGAAACTCTCAAGCAATCGACTCACATTGCTTTCATATGAAAATGAAACTTAACCACAGTGTCCTCAGCGGCTCAGATGGAGGGAGTCTATGGAGACTCCTATATTCGTTGGTGCATCCCAAAACACAACACTTGTAATGCCTGTTTGGGGCTGACATTGTATATCTCCAGCAGCTACAGCAAGAAAACAGTAATGGCAGACTGCTGCTTCTCACTCAGGGCTGTGTCTATGCTAACAGGGCAGAGAGCGACACAAATGGGCGGGACTTTTTCCCTTCAGTGACGTGTACGTAGGGAGAATCTGAAACCGCTCGTTTGCAGAGACTGTTTATTATTTATTGGGATTATAAAAAAAATGAGTGGGTGGATTTTTACCATTATAGGCTGGTTGTTTTCACACACTACAGCCACACAACTGTTCAAACGCCTTATACAAAATATTTTTTGCATAATAGGTCCCCTTTAATAACTAATCACATTACAGTCTTGACGTCATTGAATTTCAGTCCGAGTTGTGCGACACTCAATCGCCGTTTACGGATACCATAGGAATGAATGACAAGTGCCGTAAGCTGAATCCCACCTGTCGCAAAAAGTCAGTGACTTCTCTTATAAAACAGCATTTTTTTTCGGTGTAAACTCTAAAAATAGTTCAATCCAAAAGTATTGTTCAGTGTAAAACATATTGAAGATTAGCCGATAGGCTGTTGATTCATTAAATGATAAACTGTTTCCTTGAAAAAGCTGTTTATTCAGTGTAGTGAAGACTCTCCTCCATTGACATCCATTAAAAAAAAAAAAACAGTCTCTGGTCTCCTTTACCACGTACTGCCAAAACGGAAGCATTTGCATTAGCCGTTATGCTTTTTTGGCAAAAGGTTGCATGCAGGCTTGCCTTCTAGTGGCTTTGCATGGAGCTCTCTCCTAATGAGCTTATGATCTGAATCAGGTGTGTTAAATAAGGTAGACAAACAAAATGTGCAGGGGGTTTCTCAACTCTGGCCCTGATGTCCACTTTGCTGCAGGGTTAAGCTCCAACCTTAAAGTCTGTGTAAAGTAATAATAAATATGTGTTCTGAGCTTGTCACACCACAGAAAAATTTGATATTAACCACCCAGCCAAATTAGAATGATAAAAAAAAAAGCCAAGCAAATAAAATAAGGTTTTGATACCTTATTTTATTTGCTTGGTGTTTTTTTTTCTTTTAATCATTCTTATTTGGCTGGGGTGGTTAATAACACACCTGAACAAGCCTGAATCACATGATGAATCACCTGAATCAGGTGTGTTAAATAAGGAAGACATTTAAAATGTGCAGAGCACTGGTACCCCAGTGGCCTGTAGCACGAAGCCGGTTTCAGGTTTTACCCAGGTAAGTTTACATTTAGTTTGAGCAAACTCTGAGTTTTCGGGCTCAAGAAGGTGGGTTGGTTTTTAGCGGGTTTCGTCGCCATGGTAACTTACGCTACACGGCTACCCTGCTCCGGAGCAGGTTTTATTCTGGGTTAGACATCACAAACCCAAACTGGACTAATCATCGGTGAGCAAAGTGACATATATCTTGTGCAATGAAGCCACTCCCCCGTATCTCTCACTCCAAATTAAAGCAGTTTACAGTCAAAGAATTTTAAAGACAAAAAGTCAGTATATACATATATAAGCTATATACTGTATATAGGCTATACACACACATACATATAGATAAGCTTTAATATATCCAACTTTTAAAATGCATAGACATATATTTTCTTTCTGCTGCCAAACTTTTGCTGCAGCAGAAGTGTTTATTCCTGCCTTGTAAATGCATTTAAATTTATTAAATTTTTAATAACGACATCTCTTAACCTTCAGCAGAAAAGTGAAATGCGCTGACTCTCGCGAGAAGTGAATCCAACTGATGCTTTGCTGATGCTCTCCACACGTTCCCTGTGATTGGTTGTTTGCTGAATGTGTCACACGTTCAGGTTCACGCGCTCCAGAGTTAATCACAAACTCTGGTTCAAATTCTGAATTGGGAGAGAAGGTTTATATCGAGCTTTGTGAGCCCAGTGAACCTGGGGCCCGTTCTTCCTACGTTGCTAACTCAGTTAGCTGGATTTGATTGTTGACAATTTGGCATGATCATGGATTATTTGGTTCTTCGAAGCTCATCCCGGAGTTGCTGTCATAGCAACAGGTCCGTAATCTTAAACCTGCTCGGGAGCAGGCTTATTTCATGGAAACAGGATTAGATTGCATCTTTTTAAGCAGAACTGATACTTAAAATCTGTCTGCTACCACTGCTACTTTATTACAAGAGTACCCTACTAATCCAGGGACAATAATTTAAAATAATAATCATTTAAAAAGTATTTTAAAGATAATATAATAATGTTGTGTAGTCTTTAATACTATAGACACAGCCAGTTTTACTGTGATCATAAAATGATTACTTCATAATTGTATTCGAGTCTTACACACATGCTATACAGATAATGTGGAGTCGTGCATTGATTTGAGTGGTGACAGATATTATGGGAGTGGCTTGATGGAGCGCAGGAGATGCAGATAACATGATCTTGACCCTTAAGAAACTTTAAATAATGCTGTCACGTAACAAATCTGTTCAAATATAAAATTAAATGAATTGCTAATTGCTACATTGAAATAAAAATGTAAAGCCTGTACAAAAATTAGAAATCGTGAATATAAATAATTGGGAATCATGTAAAAAAATGTAATAAAATAAAAACACATTTCATTTATCTATTATAAAATGTATGTAGTTTTGTTCGCTTGGCTGTTTCCTTATAAAAGTCCAGAAATTTGTCAAGTTTTTCGTCAGGTGTCTTTTTTAATATATGATTTCATTACGTTGCTGTCTTGCCGCCAGCCAATCGTTGCATTGCTGATCATGGCTTCGAGTATCGATACATAGCCCCTTTTAAACCAACCCATGAACGCGCATTTATCTCAGATAACTCAATCCAGCCATACTAATCATCAACAACAGGTGAGTTCGAAGAACCGAATTAGCCAGATCCTGATTAGCGTGATGATATCATCTTGGATGTGACATTTCATCTCGCTTCGAGTATCGATACATAGCCCCTTTTAAACCAACCCATGAACGCGCATTTATCTCAGATAACTCAATCCAGCCATACTAATCATCAACAGCAGGTGCGTTCGAAGAACCGAATTAGCCAGATCCTGATTAGCGCGACGATATCATCTTGTGTTGTGTATTTTGTTAACGTTGTTTATTTAACTATATCTCCCAGAATGCAGTGTTATGTTGTATCTGGAAGTGTTCCGGTAAAAGTTGATATATGAAAAACCAGTAAAGAGAGCAGTCACGCTAAATCAGTGCAAGTGTCAAGTGTTTAAGTGTGCCGTTCATTCTTTCTAAAGACACAACATCTTGGATGTGACATTTCATCTCGGATGTAATAAGCGACATACGAAGAACAGGCCCCAGGTTGGCTTTATCGGGTTTTGTCAACTCAAAACTTACTCTGCAACTCTGAGTTTGTTCATCTCGCTTTGTGCTACAGGCCACAGGACTGGAATTGAGAACCACTGAGATATGCTGTTGGGTATTTTCTTTGCACTAAGTGTAAACAGTAGTTAGATGATATGTGCACTGTGTAAATATTGTTTGAGTGGCATCAGCAGATGTTACTCACCAATCAGTGGGATTTTATCAGCTGTAGAGGGCAGCGTGTCATTTAGAATCAGCAGCAACACAGAAAAAGACAGCAGTAAAGTCACTTTAAAGCTCAACTTGTCTGTTCCACGTCCATCTATGAAGAAGGACATCACATCCAACACAAGAAAGAAAAATACTGGAAGTATGATGTTGATGACATACAGCAGAGGTCTCCTCTTTATGGTGATCTGCCATGTAGAAACAGAAAACATATAAACCAGTGGTTCTCAGCCATGTTACTGGAGCCCAAACACCAACACGTGAGGTGCGATCAAGTCAGAGCAAGATGGTGATGCACCATTTCCACATCTTTTTTTTTTTCAACTTCTACAAAATGATAAATAATGTGTATTTTTGCTTTTTTATGTTTTTATTCAAGTTAATGATGGTTTTAAATCATTCTATCTATCTATCTATCTATCTATCTATCTATCTATATACACAGTGTTGGGAGTAACACATTACAAAAGTAACGCCATTACAGTAGTATATTACTTTTTGCTGTAATGCAGTAATCAGTGTTGGGTTAGTTACTTCCAAAATGTTATACGTTATATATTACTTATTACTGTCTTTTAAAAGTAATTACAAATTACAATTACAAAATTATTGTCTCTGAATTGTAATGGAGTCTTCACTGTCATCAACCTCAGTGTGAATAGGGTTGACCATTTTGTCCTCCAACACAACTGTAATATCACATGTAAACAATATTTTAATTTTAGAGCATTTCCGTAGGCAGCACCAACTAAAGAAAAACCTACTTTTAAAGCTAAATGAAATATTATGCTTTTTACATGCACTGGTCAATTGGAGATTTTGGACTATTTTGCCTCCATAACATGACTAGTGGAAAGAAAAGCAACAATTACAATACGTTTCTATAAAGGCTGTTTCTAATTAATTTTTTCTCATGCCCTAAGCCGAACATTCCCAGACTTTCCATTTTTTACTGAGAGGTTTGTTCATAAGTCAATCCCATTTATTTATATTACATTTTGTTCCTAAAAATGTTTTATGGCTGTTACAGCATTTTCTGGTTTATGATAAAAAGTGAAAAGGAGGTGTCCAAAACCTCCTCTGTGAAACCTTCAACACTTATATTTCTTCTGCTAAGTCTCAAATCCAAAGAGATATTCTTTATAAAAGTTAAGAGTCAGCCACACCTACCTAAAACGGTTCGTTCTAACACGCCCCCACATGTCTACGTCACTATCTGGGAAGATTTGCATAACGCCGCCCAAATGTTCACGCAAAGAAAGAAGGCGTAACTTTTATTCTCGCTGTAGTATTGTTGCCGCCGCCGCCATGTTGTGAAGGCGCTGTGTGCTTCGTTGTGAAAGCGAAACTACTTTGTTTGTTTGTTATCTAGTGTGTCTATATGTTTGGTTGACTGTATTCTATTCTGATAATGAACAGGCTGCAATGTTTGCAATGCTGTATGTGTGTGCATGAGGCGCCGGCGCGATCGAACAGCGGAAACATACTCCATAATTTTAGGTCATACAGATCATTCGAAACTGCAATGTGTTTACATTTTATTTTAGAATGCACTTTCTGTCATCTCGGTTTTCTTTCGCTGTTGTGTGCACTACAACAGATTGGTGACAGGGGGTCACACATTGCACAACTTTTCAATAGGAAGAATCGGCAACAATTTTGTCTGGTCTTCAAACTACATTTTCACAACCAAACATATGTAATAAGTGATGCAGGAAATAATGTAAGATCATGTGTGGGACAGGAGTTCTTGCATGAGACTGGATTTCTTCCTGTTAGAAATTGAAGCCCGCCAGAAGCTTGCAATACAAGTTGTCTGTATTGCAGACAAGAAGAATAGGAACGAGAGATGGTTGCTTGCAGAAGCCATGCATGCTAATGTGTTGTTGCAGATCTATGACTCCACCCCCTTGCCATGTACATTGCTCTCTCATTGGCTGTAGGTTGTCTCGCCGGTGTCATTTTCAGTTAAAACACATTTCAAACTGGGGCTTTCTGGGGGGTATTCCAAAAAGCATGTTATGTGACATACCCGGGTATGTTTGAGGATAAGCGAGCGGATAACCTCAGCTTTCAGTTCCAAAATCGGAGGTTACTTTCAGGGTATGTAAGTAACCATAGTAACTTGCTCTCTGAAGGTAACCTGCTCCGGAGCAGGTTATGTTCCAGGGTTAGTTCACGTCAGCACACGTGTGATCTACTGACGAGCCTTCAGTGGGCGTGACAGATAGCGCACAACATTATATAATATTACGATATGTAATATAGCCTATTATATATAAATGTATATATATATATATATATATATATATGTATGATATGTTAATGATGAAGCACTAATATAAGTAATAAATAAGGTAATATATTATTCTAATATGGTTATTATTTATTTTATTGGCATATATAACAGTTATCTATATAAATTATAGAACACTATGACAAGGTAATGTTTAATTTATTATATATTTATTTATTACATTTTATATTATCAACTCACACATGTATCTGCTTTTTCTATAATGTCTCAATTCTAAATCAAAATACATATCTGATATGACTTAATATATAATTAGCATCAAACAAACAATATAATTAATATACTCAAGGATTAAAAATTAAATGGAAAAAATGATTGCACAACCATCAATTAGGTGGCGATATGCACTAAGCACGTAACGACCATTGAACATAAGAAGAAGAAAGAAACAGCATGGCGCGCTTTTTCTTAGCGTCCGTTTCCATAGTGACTCGTCGATTCATCGCTCTGTTGAGAATGTCTTGAGTCTTAACCAGGAACATACTCTGAGTTGAATGAACTTACTTTCTGAAAAATGAAAGTCATATACACCTGGAATGCTTCGAGGCTAATTTTCATTTTTTGGGTGAACTAACCCTTTAATATCAATTTTGCACCCGCAATTAATGTTGAAAAAATATTAAAATTTCAACAAACCACCATTATTGTGATCAGTGTGTGCTCATCTGAAGTCGTTCAAAATGTTGAAGTCAATCTTTCATTACTGTTGTAAATGTTCTGTTTCACAAATGCAAAGATACTGTAGCAAAATATACAGAAATATTTAGACATCTACACTTATCATACAAACCTCAACAATGGTGACAATCATGAAACTAATTCAGATAAACAGATCAACTGCAACTGCAATGCCGGGAATCATGAATGAGTTTTGTACTGTTGATAGCCAGCATGCATTTCAGCATAAAATTAGATTTTTGTTGATTGTCACCATTGTTGAGTTTCACACGCTGATTCTTGATGTCTAATTGATTCAGCAGTTTAATGATTTTTTTTTTTTATATAGAATTTTCTGTTAATTCACAGAAGTATGAAAGCCATACCACTGTTTTAATCTCACACTGTAGTATCACAAATGTTTCACACATAAAAAAAAACATAACACACTTGTGAGCAGTTATTTAAATAACCTCACAATGATTACGGTCACCAAAACCTGATCCCAAAAGATCTTAGTTAGTTTTCATTGCCTCAACAAATGTATTTTTGTACATTGTTGCAAGTAACAATAAAAATCGAATATTAAAGTGCAACGAGTCAAGAGCCCAACTAAAGTAAACGCGGATCACAATAATGGTGGTTTGTTGAAATTTCAATATTTTTTCAACATTAATTGCCGGTGCAAAAGTGATGTTGATTCAATGCAATTAACATTGACAAATCAACAATTTTTAACATTGATTCAATGGTTGCTTGCTATCAGGGATAGTAAGTCCTTCTTCTTTTGTTTAATGGCGATTTACATAGCCTACTTAGTGCACATCGCCACCTATTTGGTGGTTGTGCAATCATTTTTTAATCTTTGTGTTTAATATTTAATCTTTAATTACTGATAATAAGAATTACATTGTTTGTTTGATGCTAATTATATAATAAGACATATCAAATATATATTTCATCCTAGGACAACATTATAGCATATGCTACAAAAGGAAAATTTTTTCCATTGTAATGTAGATCCATGATGTGTGAGATGACAATAAAACAATAAATATATTAGAATTAAATATTTAAATTTTACCTTTTTATAATCATGCTTTATAATTAATATATATCAGTACAACTAGATAGAATACCCTACTTTCTGGAATACCCCCCAGGACTCTGAGTCGCTGACAGGTCCAGATATTTACCATGCTAAATATCTCACAGGCATCAGCGACGCATCAGCGCTTTTCTCAGATTGCATCTTTGATAATACACACTACACGATTGTAACACATGTGAACAAACATCAATTTGCCTCTGATTTCGGGCATTTGTCAGCGATTTCAAGAAAACTGTTGCCGATTGAAAATTGGGGCTAAAATTGTGGAGTGTGTGCCCGGCGTAAGGCTGTGGCTGGAAGTCAGTTGTAGTTGCTGTGTTTCTCTTTTTTCTGTTCCTGTTGTTTTTCTTTCCAGCTGTTTGTTAACAACAGGTTCATCACTAATGCTGAAAAATTTCTTAATTAATCACTTATTTATATCATTAACACTACTTCAGTGTTACTTTTAACATTCAGTAGTGTCCATTTTTTGATGAACCCATGTGGGGCCGCCATGGAAACTGAGGTCAAAACTCCCAGCCAGTAAACCCATGTGGGGCCCAGATGTCTGTCTATGTACACAAGTTTTATTGAGAATTACAGAGGTTTAGATGTTGATGTTTTATTGAAAGTTATATTTGTCATCATTATGGAGAAGTGTTTGTGGTTTGTTGGAGAGTGTTTGTTTTAGTTGGGCAGTTGGCCCTTAAAATTTTGACTACTTTTTCTTTGACTGCTTTAACTGTGTTCATTATGGCAAGACAAGCAAACGAAACTGTGATAATGAAGACAATCATCATGCAATAGTCTGATTCTAGAGCCTAATACCTAACGGTATAAATGATGTGTTAATAATTTAACATTAATAATCCTTGACATTCAACAGTGCTGAAGAATATTAAAATACATTTTAAGAAAAATGCTTTGTGCTCCGGCATCATTTAAACACACACAGACAAAGATCTGTGTATGAATCTCAACAACGGTGACATGATTTATGCTGCAGTGCATTCTGGGTGCAGCATGCAAAAGTCATTTATGGCTCCCAGCATGTGATTTCAATAAAACATCAATATCTGAACCTCTGTAATTCTTAATTAGAACTTTTGTAGACATCTGAAAAAAATAAAGTTAATCTGGTTAGTAATGCATGAAGCTGGTAATGCTGTTTGTGGAATTGTTTAATCATCCTCTGCTGAGATCTTGAGAGATTTAAAGGGGTCATATGATGCTGCTAAAAAGAACATTATTTTGTGTATTTGGTGTAATGAAATGTGTTTATGCGGTTTAAAGTTAAAAAAACACATTATTTTCCACATACTGTACATTATTGTTGAGAAAGGACAAATTGAAATCGCATCATATGACCCCTTTAATGTCTTTTATTTGCAGTTGTTTTGCAGGCTGTGGCTGGAAGTCAATAGTGGTTGTGTTTCTCATCTCTTTTTTTCTTGAGCAGGCATTCGTCACCAATGTTCAGTCAATACTCGATTAATCACTTAATTATCTAATGAACTGCAATGCTGCTTCAGTCTTATTTTTAGCACTTCGTTGTATGCATACTGAGCAGTTTTCATTTCATTCATTAATCTGGGCTGACCCATGTGGGGCCCTCATGTAAACTGAGGACAAAACTGGTTGGGTCCCAGTTAGATAGCCCAGGTGCCACCCATCTGGGCCCCACATGAGTTTGCTGGCTGGGTTGCAGAGTTTTTTTTCTCGACAGGTAAGCTAAACTTAAGTCTTTGCCACATCCCCAGATAAAATAGTAAGATATTGTAAATATAAGAATACTTGCAAGGGTGTGTTGAGTGTAAGGGGCATTTTCAAAGGTTGTTTGAAAATATAAACATTTAAACAGTGGCTGTAATAAAAAATACAGGTTTATTTAACCATGCATTAAATAATGAAGACAGAAGGTTAAAATATATAAGTAAAATTATAATGAACATGTAATTCACTACAAATAATGTTTAGTGAATTTTTGTTCACGCATTATATGAAAACAGCACAGACTAAGACATCTCAATTGATCAAAATGAAGATGAATTAAAAAATGATACATCAATATTGTCGACCCAGCCCTTTGGTCAATGATTTGGTTGTGGTTTTTACCATTTTATTTATACATTTAAAATTGTCTTACACTACATACCTTGTGCACTGTACCTGATATATCAGCTGATCCTTCATATCCCATTCATATCCCACAGAAATATTAGACTTAACCATATTTATACTGAGGAGCTCCCACTCTCCCTGGGCCTGAAAGGTCTGCTTCGACTCGTGTGTTACCCACTCTGAATCTGCGAATGTTAGAACTTTAAGCTCCTCAACTGTGGGAACAGACACAATAATTATATTCATTTATATTAACTCAAACAGTTTATTAGAAGTAACCATGTTTGTTTGTCAACCCTGATTCATGGATTTCTGATGTACTTGAATATGCTGAAGATTGAAGTGTCAGATTGCAGCTGTGGATGTCGAATGGAAACTTGTGCAGGTCCATCTTACAGGCTGTAGTCAGAACTAAAATGTCCGACAAGACTGTAAAGGCATAACAGTAGAACTGCACATATGGAGACTCCTTTGTTCCAAAATCTGTCTTGATGCTAAATGGACAAAACAAAACATTGATGACTGGAGACAACAGCTACATAAAACGAATCAAAGTAACCTGTACAGACTACTGAAATACAAAAAGTTCTGTCATTTAAACTCTAAGCTGATAGGTCCTTAACTCAATCTACTAGTAATCACATTGTTATCTACATGGTGCTTGATTTCTGTTGCATTAACATCCAATGAGCTTGCTGCTCAACATTCAAATACTTGACCAGTGTTTGCTGTAGCAGTTTGTAGCACGCTTTCAGAAAGCATCTGAAATCAACATCTAAGATAAGTGAACCCTCCTTTACTCCATACCAATGCGCATATTACATGGATTGCCTTATTAATTCCTAAATGAGAAATCATAAACACGTTTTAAACTAAGCTTTTAAGTTTTAAACTTACATTTGATGCAGGAATGAATGACTGAAGAATGAATGTGGCTTTAAAATCCATCAGGGCAAAATTAAATGCATGGTGCAGATAAGCACAGTGCAACATTACTTCTGGTGAGACGCAAGAGGAGCCCAGCCTGGAGACACCCCACAGTGCCCAGAAACTCCAAGCGCAAAACTCTTCGGCTCCAGATAAAGTAGTTCAGAATCATCTGATCAAGTGGCCTGCGGCAAACCAGTATAGAGCATGGCACCAGTTCAACGAAGATGTGGCAAGAATCATTAACACCACAGCAAAGGGAGATGCAGATAAATGGCTTGAGATGGTGACCACCATCATTGTCAATTTTGCAACAGAGAGGTTTGGCATTGAAGAGTGCAAGACCAGCAGACCAAAATACACCATGAACCAAAGGGCAGACAAGATCCACAAGCTGCGGCAAGAGCTCTGCACTTTGGGCAAGACAGTTCAAGGTAGAAACTTAGGAGGAGAAACCTCCACTAGTCAAGCTCCGGTATAGCTTTAGGAAGGAACTTGTGACCCTGTGCAGAACAGAGTGGGACAGAAGGTGGAGAAAGAGCAAGGAAGCAAGCCGCGTTTATGGCCAGTCCCTTCAGGTTCACAAAACAGCTTTTGGAGCAGAAGCAAAGTGGACATCTAACTTGTTCCAAGGAGGAAGTAGATTGTTACCCGCACAACACCCTGAGTTAGCCTAAAAGGGAGCAAGAGCTAAGCCCCTCAGAGCCCTGTTGGATGTACCAACTCCCATGGTGGATTTCACTGTGGATACTCCAGGGCCTGGAAAAAGTCATATACTAGGCAAGGATAAGTTTTAAGCCTGCCAAGTCCAGATCCATGGTGCTGAAAAGGGGGAAAGTAGTAGACAAATTCCGCTTCAAGTTTGGTGGGATTCAGGGTCGGAAATTAAAGGGGGCGCATGGCAAAAATGCCACCAAAATGAATAAAAATACCCCATAAATTCAAGATAAAGGGGCAAAAATTGCATTGTAAACAACAAAAAGAGGCATCTTAAACAACACAGTGCAGATACAATGTAAATAAAAGATTCATTTCGTAACTTCAGTAATTGTGTAAATAAAAGATTCGGGGGCCCATGGCAAAAATGCATGGGCAGCAGCTACGCTAATTATGTCTCTATTTGTTTCTCTGTTTTTGCCACGGGATTGACATCCCTTGGTAACTAGGATTTACACAAGCTTCAGTCTGGATCCAGAACACCTGAGAAGAGATGATGCCAACCCCTCAGAGGACCTCAGATGATGCCAACTCTGAAACAACATACAGAATTACCAAATTTTGCTAGTTTGAATGCATCATATAATAATTTCTGTTAATAGTGTTCATCATCTGTTTGATTACGTCTTTAATTGATTTTTCCGTACATTTCTGCCATATGTACATTAACTGACAGTCACCACAGATAAGCTACCACTAAATATTGTAGAAACGTAATTTGCTGTAAAGTTGCTTTGCAACGATTTGTATCGTGAAAAGCGCTATACAAATAAACTTGAATTTAATTGAATTATAACGGGATTTTTTGCATAACTTGCGCTAGACTAGACTTAACATCATGGACCAACATGTTTGTCTGTGAAACCAGAGCCAGAATATATGACAAGCCGTTACTCAAAAAAGCAGAAAATTGCAAAAATTGCCCCTTAATGGAAAAGTTCATTTCTGACCCTGGTGGGATTGTAATCTACTCCAAGATGACGCCGCGTATGGCCACCTCGGTGTGGGGCTCTCCAGTTGTTTTAATGTTTTTGTTAGTTTTTCAAACACAAGTTTTTTACCAGGGATGAACTGCTGAACATTCGGCAGTACACATCACACAATCTTCTACCGGTTTTTGATTACTTGGACATTTTGCTGAACATTGTAGTCGGCGGAGCAGCAGTGCTGTTCAAGCGTTTTAAGATGTGCAAGCGTGTTTACATTCCTCCGCAAGAGTGTGTGAATGCAGCGTTACAACGGCTGGCTGATGAGATCGCAGACACAGAACAACAACACCCGGACTCTATTATAATCATTCTTGGTGACTTTAATAAAGCAAATCTCTCCAGTGAACTGCCAAAATACATACAGCATGTTACATGTCCTACAACAGACTATAATATACTGGACCACTGTTACACCACAATAGAAGATGCATATCATCAGAGGTGGAAAGAGTACGAAAATATTCTACTCAAGTAAAAGTACCATTACATTAAAGACATTTTACTTAAATACAAGCAAAAGTACCAGTCTAAAAATCTACTCAAGTAAAAGTAAAAAGTAGCTCATTTAAAATGTAATTCTTAAAGTAAGAATTACTTGGTTACATTTTAATAGTGGCAGGGAGGCAAAAATGGGATAGACCAAGGGTGTCAAACTCAGTTTCTGGAGGGCCACAGCCCTGCACAGTTTAGATATAACCCTAATTAAACACATCTGATCCAGCTAATCTAATCTTTTAGGCTTATTTGAAAACTACATGGTATGTGTGTTGGAGCAGGGTTGGAACTAAACTCTGCAGGGCTTCGACCCTCCAGGAACTGAGCTTGAAACCCCCGGGATAGGCCTATAAATCTCAAACTAGTTGTTTTTAATTAAAGGAATCAGTTATTTAGAATAATAAGACATTTGGGCTGTTACCAGGCAAATTAAATCAGTATCAACAAAATTCATCTTTTCAATGCAGAGGAAACACAGAAGCTTCATCGGAAGTGGCATTTAGATGTATTTACACACTGTTTAATGCAGGACATGAATGCATTTAACCTGCAGTTACAAAAGCAGAAATAATGTTTTGATATATAAGACATAAAATGTTGAATACTCATTTGAAATTATAAGGGAAAAAAGATCAAAACATACTTTAAATGTGAAATTAAAACCGCCAGTAGGTGTCAGCAAGTCACTGTTAATAAGTGAGTCATTGCGATTGAACCGAATCATTTAAACAGTTGATTCATTCAGGAACGAAACACCATCATGTTGATCAGAGACGCAAAACTGTGCTGTGGCTGTGTTTGGAATGCTTTTTCTGTTGTTGTTGTTGGCGAAATAGCGCAAAAACAGCCAATATGGTGTCTATAACGTAAGTCTCTTGATATTAACTTATTGTTTATTGAACTGTTGTATAAAATCAATATCACATTTGTAACCATGC